GGCCAGTTGGTCTGAAGTGGGGGGAGTCGTGCAAGATAGCACCCATTTTACCTAATTTGGATGGCTTGCTGACCAGAACTCGATCAGATGAAGATAAAGAAGTTTGATACAGGAAACAAGTGTAAATTGCTACAGTTTGATGAACTGAACCTTTGCTTACAGATGAAGTTGCTGAAAATTCCAATCAAAAGGGCAGACTTCTTCATTTCAAGGAACAAGCTTGCCTCCTCAGTACACTGGGTTGATAGGGATGGGCAACATAGACTTCAACTATCAAAACTGGGGGGGGGGGTGCCTATAAAGGCATAAAGTCACTGGCTTATAAGTTTTCATGAGAGTGCTTAGGATCAGAACAACAGGAGTAAGATAGAATCCCCACTGTATAGCTTTCCTCTTGTCCAGATGTGTCTGGTAACGATGGGGTAAGATTTTATGATTAAATTGTGAGTAAATGTTATTAGAACTAATGTCGATTGTCACAATTATAAATGTAGAAGAGGTGTAACTAAAAGGGGGAGCAGTTACTCTGTCATTTCAGGAACAAAGGACCCTAGAACCATCAAGAGGGAAAAGCATGAGAATAGCGAGGGATCCTAACCAGCAAAGCAGAGATACCAGAGATGGTGGCAGAGGTGATGGCATAGAGAGACAGAATAGCAGAGGACTATGGGCCCATGGACAGGGAAAACAGTGTGCCTGAAAACAGGGCAAGAGGTTGGCTTTCAAAATGGGCCCTTTGGACATTTAAACGAATACGTATTCTCAATGTGGTATGTATACAACAACAACAAAAAAAACAAATACGGGGTAATATAGGGTAAATACTTCTAGCTGCTGGTGCATGGAAGGGACTGTAAACATTTCAATGATTAACTGAATGGAAAATTTTAAATCTGCCCTGTAAACCTTCTTCTCTCAATTCACAGTAAAAGATTAAAAAAAAAAAAAAAATCACAGTAATTGAAAACTCTACGGAATGTGGAATGAAGTTCTACTGAACACCAGGTCATGATGAATCAGAATCATTTCAATGGCAATTTTTTTCTTTTTTTTTTAAATAGGGATAGAACCAGTGTCTTTCAACATTAACATTACAAGGTCTTACAAAATGTTTGCCATATAATTAATGCTTTATATTTGTGCTAAAGCACTGTACTGCAAGGTCAGTTTGAACTGCAAGGTCAGTGGTTCAAGCTCACCAGCTGCTCCTTGGAAACAGGGTCACTAATGGGTCAGAACCAAGTTGATGACAACATATTCCTATCTCTGGTTCTTCTAAATTAATGATCAGAACTGATATTCACACTACCAAAAACAGTAACAGAGGAAAAACTTCTAACCTAAGATAACCCATAGACCAATCAATGCCAATCTACAAAGAACTGGGGAATCTAAAGTCTTAAAAACCCATTATATTTTCATTTTATATATTAATTTCATACTTGATTTCCATAAATTACCAAATTTAATTACATGTTCAACTATAATTTATAGGAGTTTATTTCCTTAATAAGAATATTCACTTTTAAAGGAAACTATCCCATTAGGTCAAAATATGAGTAAGAAACGTTAGTAATGGCTATACTTCACAGTATTAGCTAAAAATTTCAAAGTGTATGCTTCATTATTGGATATGATTTATGATACTAAAAGGAATCAGACTTAGTCATTTAAAATTTCTGAAAATGCCATACCTCATAAGTTCTTAATGAGATAAACCTATGGGCCATGATCTTTTCTTATATGCATGTGTGTGTATGTATATATATATATATATGTATGTATGTATATATATGTATGTATGTATGTATGTATATATATATATATATATATATATATATATATATATATATAGAGAGAGAGAGAGAGAGAGAGAGAGAGAGAGAGAGAGAGAGAGAGATTGAGAGAGAGAGCGCATGAGCGCATGCGAGCTCTGGTAGTGTAGTGGTTATGAATCGGGCTGCGAACGGCAAGAGCAGCAGTTTGAAACTACCAGCTGCTCCGTGGGAGAAAGATGAGGCTTTCTGCTCCCGTAAAGATTACAGCCTTGGAAACCCTGTTCAGGGTCGCTAAGGGTCAGAACCAACTCAACAGCACTTAACTCTCTCTCCCTCTCTCTCTCTCTCTATATATATATATTTCTCAGAGCTTGATCAAAGAGTTTCACTAAGGATATTTTATAGTCCCCAAGAAAAGAGTGTTCCCAGGCCACATTTTACTTGCTTTGTATCTTCTGTGTAATAATAGTACCACTTTATGTTTACTCTCCCACTTACAAAAAGCTGTCAAAGACCATAGTCTTGGGGGACACACCAGGTTCAACTGGCATAAACAGTCCATGAAGACAATGTTCTACACATCCTACTTTGGTGAATAGTGACTAGGATCTTAAAGCTAAGGTCTTTGGTCTCTCCCTGTCTGGAGAAATGAAACAAAAATTCAAGCCACTTAGAAACAGTCCAATGGACCACATGAACATCAATCTCAAAGATCCCAAGACCAAAAGGACTAGACAGTGCCAGGCTTCCAAAATCAACTGCTCTCAAAGGATACTAGAAGGTCCTGGATAGAGTCGGGGAAAATGTAGAATAAAACTCAAAATCATTAAAAAAAAAAAGACACCAGATCTACTAGTCAAATGGTAGAACAAAGCCCTTGGCCACTCTTCAAGTCTAGACAGGTCTATACGGAGACAACAGTCCTAGTGAGGCATGCACACCGTAGAATGGTCAACTATTTGAGATCGAAGAGCAGCATTTACCCAACAACAAAATTCAGAAGCGTTGGGAAAGATGAATAAAACCAAGCACATAAGGAAGCAGGATAAGTGATGCTACAATGAGGGGACTGCAATCATTTAGATGAAACAAAGAGTATGATTTATTGAATGAAATCTGATGATCTGCTCTGTAGACTTCCACTCAATACACAATAAAAATTATAATAATAAAAAGCTGTCAAAGATATTAATTCTACGTCAAGTCTTCCTTGATATACTTTTCTAGAAACACTGCATATAAAAACCTTCTTTTTTAAACTGTTAAGTCAGAAAAATTATTGCTACCATTTTGGAAACTCATTTGGTCTTAGAATTAGATAAAGGAAAACACTAAGTATTACTGTAGAAAAATGTATTCACCTTCAGTCCATTTTATAGAAAGTAACAGAAACCGAGGCTATAATGAAAAGACTAGGTTTGGAAAAAAATAGTCCCGAGTTTAAGTGCTATATTGCATAAAGTTCTGAAATAAGATTAGGCAATGATGACTGAAATAACAGTTTGAGCAAGCAGACTGAGACTGAAGAGCTAAAAGGAAACAGCACAGTGCCCTTGGGTAAGTTGTCTGTCTCTCGAAGGATCCCAACACCTACTCAGCAGGAATACTGAGAGAATGAGAAAAGATAAATGAAGTACTTAGCATACTCTCTGGCATGTCAGCGCCTCAGCCCATTACCGCTGTTATAATTGTAAAGCAAAGTCAATTTTACTCTATCCAGACCCAAAAGCCGAATTATTTTTCAAATTGTGATAAGGTATATGTAACATTAAAATTGCCATTTTAACCACTGTTAAATGTACAATTTAGTAATATTACTTACATTTGCAATATTGTATAATAATTACCACTGTCTTTTTCCTTTCGTAAATCACCTCAAACATGAACTTGGTACCCATTAAGTAATAATGCTCCATTTTCCCTGACTTCTAATCTACTTTCTGTCTCTGTATATTTGCCTATTCCATATATTGCACATCAGTGGGATCATATAATATTTGTCCCTATGTGCCTGGGTTGTTTCACTTATAATGTTTTCAAATTTATCCATACTATCAGATATGCTTTTAAAGAATGAATAATACTCATTCCTTTTTAAGGTCATATAATATTCCATTCTATGGTATATACCACATTTGTTTATCCACTTATTTGTTGGTGGAAATTGGGTTGTTTCCACCTATTGACTATTGTGACTAACACTTCTATGCACACTGGTAGAAAAGTGTCTGCTTGAGTCCTGTTTTCAATTCTTTCAGGTATATACCTAAAAGTGGAACTGCTGAATTATATGAGAGAGGGTCAGTGAACATGGGCAATGCCCTAAAGGAGATGGACTGCCAGAGTGACTGCAACAATGGACTCAAACACAGTAACAAGTCTGAGGAGGGCGCAGGACCCAATGGGGTTTTGTTCTGTTGTACACAGGGTCACTATAAGTCAGAACTGACTCAACGGCACCTAACAACAAACATGGGAGTTCTGCATTTAATTTGTTTGAGGAATGCCAAGAGCTAATTATTTAAACTATGCAATAAGAGTAGGCAATGAGGACTGAGACTGAACTATATTTTCTTTGGATTAAAAAATTTCCAGTCTTTTAAAATTTCTTGTAATATTGCTAATAGAATCTACCATATCTCATGCCTTTTTTTGAACTCCCAATCTGATGTCCCAAACTTCTATCCTATAGAACCTAGATCAAATTTTACCCCTTACATGAGTGAAGCCTTTCCTAATAGCCGGCTGCCAAAGTATTTTCTCCTTCTTCTGAATTCTGGCTGTCCTTTACTGGGTGCCTTCTACAGAATTTCTCACTTTCTTCCTAACAGCCCACCATATTTTGGGCCATTTTTCTCTCCTTGTGTTGTAGATTACATGTTCTTTAACAGAGGGGACTGCATAAAGTGTGATTTTTTTTACCCTCCAGAAAGACTTCTAAATAATAAATGCCATTTCAGAATGTATGTGAAACTTCTACAAGTTGCTTAAGAAGTACATGAATTAAGACTTGTATATGATAAATAATGTTTGAATGGATTCCTTTTAGTTCATACTCAATATGATGAACAGTTAATGTCATAGCACTGTACATGTGACGAATGTTGAAATGTTAAAGGTTTTTTTATTTAACATATTTACCACAATAAAATATCATTTGAGGTAACTATAAAGGTAAGAAAGGATACTAAGTAGAAAAAGGTTGTGTGCCAGAGTAGTAATTAAAATGTCATTAAGAGTTCAAAACGCAACGTGAACTACGTGAACCCCAGCTTCCACAACCGTGAGACAAGAGCTAGATGGTGCCTGGCTACCACTGCTAACCACTCTCAAAGGGGTAGCAAGAGTAGGCTCTAGACAGAGAGGGAGAAAAATGTGTATGAAAACTCAAAATCATAAAATAGGCCAGGCTTCCTGGTCTGACAGAGACTGGTAGAACCTCAAGGCTACGGCCCTTAGGCACTCTGCAAGTCCAGAGCTCAACTCACCCTCATGGCTTAACTTTCAGACAAATGACAGAAAGGCTGGCCTATGTGGTGAACAATGACACCAGGAAGGCACACACTCATGAGAACTATCAATTAATTGCCCGAGAGCAAAAGGACAGCATTCACCCAGGGATAAAGCTCAGAAGGCAGAAAGGGCTAAAAATAAGAACGAAGAGAAATACTATTTATATAGAAGTGGGAATAGTGCTGTGGTTTGTGGGGAGTGAAATCACTGTCACAAAACAGTATGTGTATGAGCTTTTGAATGGAAAATCAGTCTGCTGTTAACTTTCAACTAGATCACAATGAATTGTTTTTTTCATCATTAAAACAGTGATACTTCACTTGAATTTTTGACACTTATTTTTTAAATAGTATTTATCCTCATTACCAATTAAGGCTTTAATAGTTAAGCAGGCTTCAAGAGTCTGGAATTTAAATGTTAACATAAAATGCAAAAACTCCAATACATATACATGAAATAAATGGTCAACTCTACACCTCAATTTAAACAATCACACTTTATATAGCAAAGTTAATCAAATGACCTAATAAAAATGAAAGAGCTTTATAAATCTTATTAAAAACTTCAAAATACATTTCATTTTTAAAAGCTTATAAAAAGTACAATGCAAATGCTAACTATTGTTATTACTATTTCTGGTACCCTTCTTTGTATATCTTTGGTTAGAATTCTGGTCGATAAACAAGACCTCATAGTCTCTTATCAGTTATCATCTATATTCTATGCTTTTTTGCATTAATATCACTATTCATCCTGTTTTGTTTTATGTCTATATTGAATAAGCCATATTGCTAAATACTACAAAACAGCAATGAACTCAACCCTTATTTTATTTGGTCACTCTTGCTTAGTTAATAATTCTATTCCAACCTTTTCATGTTAGGTCTTACCTCTGCATTTAGGTTATCTGCAAGACTTTCTAGAAATTGACTCTCGATTGGGTTTTGTTGAGTGAGCAAAGTGAGGTAATGGCTGAGTTTATCATGTGTTGTTATGATGATTCCTTCCCCAAATTTGTCAAATTGTGGTCTTCCAGCTCGACCAAATATCTGCATGACATCTAAAATTCCAAGGTCAACAAAGGAGCCTCTTTTTGCAGCATATATCTGTGTTCCCTAGATGAGGAAAAGTTAATAAAAATTAACATAAACACACACAAATATAATCCTGATGAGTCAAATACTGAAATTAGACAAATAAGGCAAGATCTCAAAAGTGTACTCTAACTAATCCTTTCATCATCTGTAATGCAGTTAAATGTTCCCGATACAAACTAGATTCTTATTGAAGAAAATAATTCTGACTTTCTATAATATATTCAAAATCAACGAAACAGCCAAATCACAATATTTTTCTAACGAAGTCAATCCACAGCTTTGTTTAAAGACTCACACAAATCCATGTGCAAAGGCAGGGAAGCGCTTACCTTAATGATAACAGCATGAGCAGGAAGATTGACACCCCAGGCTAAAGTAGCTGTACACACTAGAACTTTGATATGCCCGTTAGAAAACAAATGTTCAACCAAATTTCTGTCCTGCCGAAGCATTCCTGCATGATGAATACTAAAACCATCCGGGAATAATTCTCTTACTTGCTTATTTCTTGACTTTTGTACCTAGAGTAGATATTAATAAAACATAAAACAGCAATTGTTATTTAGCATTAAAATCAATTGTTACTTAATACTGCTGTTCAATGCATTATCTATTGAAATAACATAAAGTTATTTTTAAGCATCGTATGAGTATTACTGATGCCCTGCTGTGTGCTACAGGATAAGCACTGGAATGGCTAACCAAAAGGTCAGCTGTTCAAACCCACCAGCTGCTCCTCAGAAACGCTATACAATATTGTTCACTATGAGTTGGAAATGACTCCACAGCATTTAACAACAAAAACAAGGTACTGCTAAATCTGTTATGCTTGACACAGAATTATTTTAAATTTATTATTTTATCTATCTTAAAAATATATTACTTGAACATGACACAAAATTCAAAAGGGATAAAGTGAAAAGCAAGTTTCTCTTTCACCCAAGTGTCTCCTTCTTATAAGCAATCAATGTAAGCTCTCCCCTATTCTTCCAAAATTGGTGATGGTTATGTGCCATGGAGTTGGTTCTGACTCATAGTGACCCTGTACAGGGTTTCTGAAGCTGTAAATCTTTACAGTAGCAGAAAGCCTATCTTTCTCTCACACAACAGCTGGTAGTCTCGAATTGCTGACCTTAAAGTTCATAGCCTGATTCATAACCACTATGCTACCAGAGCTCCAAAATTACTCTATTAAAAATAAACACATATTTCAGTGGCTACAAATTGATTCAAAGTAAATGTCAGAGTCCTTATAATGTAAAACCCTACACAAATCAATCTCAGCCCTTAAACTCACATACCCACGTGAGCCACAAATGCTCTGCTTTTTCTTTAAGTTTCTTTACCAACTAGACAGCACTTAACACCCTCTCAGGGTCTTTACAGTTTCTGTTCCAGACTCACATCCTGGGAGATTGTGCACATGGTTATGCCATATCCACATAGTTTGTGCCCTTACCTCCTTTACCTATAAACTGTCAAGTTTAGTAGAGTCTTTTCCATACCACCCTCGTCACTCCCCTGACCCCCCCCCAATCCATCCACCCATCACACACACACACACACACACACACACACACTCCTTACGTAAACTCACAGGTTGTGATTAAAAATTAAAGTAAGATTATTTTGCATGGAGTCCTGGTGTGGTGCTGTAGGATAATGCACTGGACCGCAAGGTCAGTTTGGACGGCAAGATGGGGGTTCACAACTCACCAGCCACTCCTTGAAAACCCTAAAGGCGGTCACTATGAGTCCCAATCGATTCAACAGCACTTAACAACATTCAGCATGGTAGTATGCTTTATTATTATTCTGCTGTTAGGTACAGGTGTACTGAACCTGGTGGATTTTTGTCAGGAGAGTATGACCAAAGTAGAAAGGGGTAAGGGAGATGACGGAATAGGCAAGGCAGTGATGATAGTGTTATGATGATGAATCTTCACAGAAGGAAGCAAGGGCATGCAGAAAGTCAGCTATAGGGTACACACTGAGAAGAAAAACTGAGTAAGATTTGGATGCCAAGAGAAAGGTGGATACTTTAAGATCAGTCATTAATATGAAACTTTTCTTTGGAATGTTCTGAAATATGTCTTGTCACTTTTCAATAGGGCATCAACCAAACCATATTTCATTCTCCTTATGTCATCATGTCCTGACAGATCCTTCTACTTAAAATGCCCTTCCTTCCTAATTCATATAGATCAGCTTCTTTGTGCTAGCTCAGTCTAAGACTAACTTCCTTTACTTTTTGGTGTCTGACTACTTTCATCAGGACTCCTGGTGTGGGGCTGGAGGACCAGCACTGGACTGCAAACCACAAAGTCAACAGTTCAAACCCACCAATTGTTCCTTGGAAACCCTGTACAGGGTCACTATGAGTTGGAATCCACTCTATGGCACTTAACAACAGCAACAATTACTACTACTACTTTAATAATGTATTTAGGTAAAGATCATATATTCTAATTTGTATGTATTCACATATACATATATCAATATACTTTTTGCATGTTTCTGAATGCAGTGGCAGCATCAATGGGCTCAAGCGTGGCAACTATAGTGAGGTTGGCCCAGGCTCGGATAGTGTTTCGTTCTGCTGTGCATAAGGTCACTATGAGTCAGTACCAACTCGATGGCATCTAACAATAAAACAAGACTGCTAACCGCAAGGTGGATGGTTCAAACCCACCAGCTGTTCCTTGGAAGCCCCATATAGAGTCACTATGAGTTGGAACCAACTCGATGGCACTTAGTAAAAGAAGTTAATAATTGGAATCCTAGCATGGCACTGTATTTTCAATAGCTTCCTATGCATGTTAAAATTGGACAGCAAATAAGTAAGACTATAGAATTGATGCATTTGAGTTATAGTGTTGAAGGAGAACATTAAAAGTCTACGAATTGCCAAAAGAACAAACAAATCTGTGTTGGAAGAAGTACAGCCAGAATGCTCCTTAGCAGCCAGGATGGCCAGACTTTGTCTTTCATACTTTGGACATATTATCAGGAGGGACCAGTCACTGGTGAAGGACAAAGAGGTAGACCAGCAAAAAAGAGGAAGACCCCAACAAGGCAGACTGGCAGCAGCAATGGACTCAAGTTTAGCAATGATTGTAAAATTGGTGCGGGATAGAGCAGTGTTGCATTATATTGGGCATAAGGTCACTATGAGCCAGTAATGATTCGATGGCATTTAACAACAATAAAGCATGACTGTAGGATAAGCACTAAACTGCTGACAGCTTGTCAGTTCAAACCCACCACCTGCTCCTTGGAAACCCTATACAGGGTTGCTGTAAGTCGGAATTGACTAGACAGCACTTAACATTAAGTTAATAATAATAATGAAAGTTGATCTAAGAAAATAGCACTCCATGAAATCTGCTTCATTTATAAAATGGAAAGTTATACACATTAACAAAGCACACCATCTAGTGGCCGTACCGGTAAATAGCAACTCATATATTTTGAGTCTTAAGTGTCCAAAGCAAAATGCAAACATACGTAAGAGAAAGACTAATTTCTTCAAGTTTCAAATGTTGAACAAATAATATCCTTATCCAGTTTTTGTGCAATGTGGCTGGTCTGTTAGAAATAACTTTACATTCTTTATACATACTTTATGATTAAATGTGGTGGTTATAAATTGTGGTGTCTGTTTAGACTCATAATGGCCCAGTATAGGGTTTCGGAGGCTATAAGTCTTTACAAGAGCAGAGAGCCTCATCTTTCTCGTGTGGAGCAGCTGGAAGATTCGAACTGCTGACCTTACAGCTAGCAGCCCAAGTTATAAATGACTTATAAATGACTATGCTACTAGAGCTCCTTATGATAAAATATACTGAGTCATATTGTCTCTCAGCTTTTATCTTTGCAGGCAGGAGATATTTTTACTGTCAATCTCTGAAAGCAGCTTTTTCATCCTATCATCAGGATCATTTTATCACTTTAATGAGCCCTGTTGTGGCACTGTAAAGAGTGGATTGGTCAGTAAAAGATTGGCAATTCAAATCCACCAGCCCCTCTTGGAAACCCCATACAGGGTAGCTGTGAGTCAGAAATAAGCTGATGGCACACAACAACAACAAACTTCACAAGTGCTTCATAAGATACAGTCAGACACATGCATATGAAAAGTATGCAACACACTAATGAAATCATTATATTCAACAAACACAAAGCTATGTCAGGTACTTGCTGTAGTTCTTATAAGGGACAAGAGGATAAAGCTCAATTTTTACTGAAGGTTGCTGGGATGCTGGGATCTCTCATCATGTTATAAAGTTTCTTTAAGCTTCCTTAATTTAAGATAAAATTCCTTTTTGTTGTTGTTATGTCTCACTACTTTCATCATGTGTTTAATATAAGATCACATGTTATAATCTATTTTATGAGTGCCTCACATAAACAGAGAGAATTTAGGGAATGACTTTGGGGTAGAGTCCTTGAAGAGTGTTTGCCAAAATACAATGGAACTCCTTCAGGGGCAAGAGTTGGAAGAGAAATATCTCACCTACTTCATTTCTTCTCTAACATTAAAGAGTGGAGACTCCGTATCAGCAGAGAGAATTTAAAACGCTTGTTTGGAGGAAATACTCTGTAAAAATCATATTGCTGGACTGCTGGTTGGTCCAGGTGAAGCCTGTTGTCCATGGACCGCCTACACTAGATTTTCCTGGTGTGCCTGCTATAAATGTAGATTAATCAATGCCAGTTGAGGTAAGACTTAGCCCTGCTAGTCAATGCCACAGTAAGAAGTAGACAACAGGAAATATGTAGCAAGGGTGAAGAATTTTCTATCAAGTAGCAAGTAGATCCTGGAGAGCTGACAGCACGTCCCACGCTGACTCAGATCACACAGCTGCAGTGACCATCAGCTTACTGGCTCCCTTTTGTCTCTGTGAGGGGCTAGGAGGCTCCAAGGGCCACACCATTTTTGATTCTACTGCTGCTCATATATCCTTTGCATTGTTTTTTATTTTTATTAACTCATTAAAATATTTGAAGAGACAATAATCTTTTTTTTTAAATCTAGATTTTTTTTTCCTCCTCACCATCTTTCAACCTGAGTGGGTCACTTATAGGCTGGCTTAGTTCACTGTACAAATGAACTAAAATTCCTGGGGATGAGGCCCAGAAATGTGTACATTGTAAAATAGGATTTTTTTTTTTTTAATTTAGAATAAAATTGACTGTTTCCCTCCCTGTTGGTGTATCCTTCTGTTAACTGGAACATGTATACAATTGTGTAACCATCACCACAATGATAATAGAGAACATATCCTTTGTCTCCAAAAACTCTCACTCTCCTTAACCACAACTCTGAAAAACAACTGCACTGTTTTTCATCCCTACAAGAATGTTACATAAGTTAAATCAGACAGTATTTACACTTTGGGGACTTCTTTTACTCAGTGTAACATCTTTGAGATTCACGCAAGTTTCGTTGTTGTTGCTAAGTTTTGTTGAGTCAATTCCGACCCTATATAGGGTTTGTGATGTTGTAAATCTTTGCAGG